AACTCTGCCTCGGGCTTCCTGTAGTCAGCCGCTGGTCAGTTTCAGCAGCGGCTGAATCTGGATGCCAGTTCTGACTGTGGAAGAAAACATTGTCCTCACTCTGAGTTTGTAAGCAACAAGTAGCCGGAGGCAGTTTTATTACGAGCTGCAGCAAGGGAAAAACTGGTTCGGACAGGGGGGAAGCCCCCCCCTCCCCGAGGCAGATCTTCGAATACAAGCAATTATGAAGCAGTTTATATACTGTCTATTAGATATAATAACAATAACAATTAGTCTCCTTCCCATTACAAACACCAATGGCTAACAGTTATTTAGTTCCACCCAGATGCTCCTTATCTCAAGGTCCCTGCCAGAGTCAGCATTCTATCCTTATCTCCGTATGGAGGCGAGAGGCAAAGGCAGCGTCTAATTACAGATCTCGCGTTGTCAGGCCACAGACTTAGCCTGACTTGCTCTCTTGTTAACAAGACCAAGATGGCTGCACACAAATTCCCTTATTCCCTTTTCCTGTCTCCACATGACTTACATACAGATTCAACTTAAGAACAAACCTACAGTCCCTATCTTGTATGTAACCCGGGGACTGCCTGTACACTGTTGCTCATGATGGATGGATTTTAACTCATAGGAAATATGCACAGGTTCTACCTGCTATAGAACATGATTGCTTGCCTTCTCCATAGCATGGGATGTTATGAGTACCTCAGGCCAGTATTAGCCCTTCCTCTGGTTATTGTAGTTTCTAATGCCAATTTAAGCACTTGGTCCTAGTATCTAAAACAACTAATACATCATGTCCCAGATATAGTAAAGACTGAATTTTGATACATGACTTATCATAATAGCTGTGCTCGGCTGGGCAGGTACAGAGCATGAAGGTTAGGAAAAAGAGTGGGAGATAAAGCATTGCTAGTTAAGGAGATCCAACAATGGACCAAATTTCCAGAGGAGACGAGGTAAATCTGGAGTCTGACCACCGTTAGGAATGTTGCAAAGCTTTCCTCTTTAAAAGGTCTTCCTACCTTGAAAATGGCATAGCACTGATACCCACTTCTATCTTATGACCCTACTGAAAAAAGTAAATGAATAAAATCTTAAAAACCCTACCCTTAGGAGAGGTTTTCCCCTCAGAAAGCAAAAATTGCCAGAGATTCTATTAAGGCTGCTAGGGATGTCACTATTGCTAGTGATATTATATGGAAAGTGTAAGCAGGTAGGTAAAAACTCTAGGACTGGAGAGAGCCTGTAAGAAAGTTTCCATTTACCATATTATACTCTGCCTGCTCATTGCTTTTAAACGTATGTACTTACAATAATTTGAGGGCAAAGTAAACCGATTCTACACGTGGATTTTGTGAGAGCCCCAGGTCTTGGAAGTTCTTTCACTGTTCTTCATTGCTGTGTATAATCTGTTTGGGTCTCTTTCACCAGTTCTCTTTATAGTTTTAATCACTACAGTGGTGTCCACTTATTTTCTTAAATGAGGAAAACCACATTTTAGAGTTCTTAGCAGTGTTCCTTCTGCATGCACCAAGATTTTGAGGCCTGCCCATCACCTCAGAAGAGCTGTGCAGGGGCTGTTCCAGGGTGGGGCTGAATGGCGAGCGCCTGCATCATGTCAGGAGCAGCAGGGCAGCCACCATGTGGGAATGGCCCTTGTTTCATCCCTTCCCCAGGGTCGGAGCTGTGTCATGGGCAGCTGCTCCGCTAGCGGCCCCGACTGGGGCTGCATGGTGGGGCCAAGGCCCTGTGGTGAGCAGGGGCAGGGCAGGGCAAGGTTGTGAAAATAAGAGGCAGAGAGGGTCTGGAGAATGGGGAACATACAGAAAGAGAGGAAAAGGGGAGGAGAGGTTGAAAAGAGAAGGGAAGAAACTTAAATTTAAAAATGAAACCATAGAAAAGGAAAGAAGAGAGTCAGGGACAGAATATAAAACAAAGAGACTTCCCTTTGCTAGATGCTCATGCTTCAAACCTGGAGACAGTGATATATAAAACACCTGAAATTAAATTTTAGTTCCATAAAATACTATGTAAGAAAAAAAATGCATACTGGATCAAGAAATCTTTTCATTCTTCTCTGAGAGCTTTGAAACAAGGCCCATTAAAGGATGCCCAGGGGAAGACTACAATAAAGAGTATTGTGAATAGTAGATTTATACTAAGATGATCAATTAGACAAAAAACATTCAAACATAGTCACTGACTTAAGATTGTTGATAGCTGGAAGCTTCAGAAACTGACATAATATACATTAATTTATTTTAATGCAAAATCATTGTAAAACACAAGATTCTTAGCAGAGCTTTGTAATGATCATAGATTGAAATTTTCAAAAGCGTCTAGTTGAGATGTGGGTGCTTACTGCTCCAAGCTGCTTTGAGAACCTCACATGTCAAGGATTGGAGGGAGGAATTTTCTACATGGTTCTTTCAGGTACTTTGAGAATTGTTATGCACTCTGGGTAAAATCTTGGGCATTTTGCTATTGACTTAAATGGGGCAAAGATGTCATCTCTTGTTTTAAAATGTAATTTTAATGTCTTAGACAAACTAATCCACAAGTCCCACAAATGTATAGGGCCATTCTAATAGGAGAATCTGCTCAATAAGAAATATTCTTTTTATACTAAGGCTCAATTTAGCCCAGAGTTCCCAAGGTGTTGGGGAAAGCTCTGGTGGGCCAGAGATGGGGAGATTCATGTCCTAATAGATGTGTGAAACTGAATATAAGGTATAATCT